TTCTCCTCCAGTCGGAATACAATATGAACGCATTGGGAGTTACACTGATAATGCAATAAAAATTGCGCCCTCTCCCTCGCCCCACTTCGGATTGGAGCACAACGGGAATGCAATGGGAAAGCAATCGGAATACCGAAAGAATTTCCCCCCCGCCCCTGCTCCTTTCCTCGTCCTCCTCCTACAGCTGGGATCCCACAAGGAGGCAACAATCATGCAATGTTGATTCACTTCCCCCTCCCATGCCTCTTCCCCAATAGAAATACAATAGGAATACAACACGAAAGCTAATACTACAATCGGAAATCCCCGCCCCCTCCTTGCCTCCCTCCTTCCCTCTGTACTTTTCCAATGGGAATACAATATGAACCTATTAGGACTGCAATAACAAATTCCTCCCCCCTCCCCCACCCTCCAATAGAAATACAGTGCGAATACGAAAGGAATGCAACGGCAATTCACCTCCACCCTCTGCCCCCCCCCATCCCTCCATCCTTCCGCCTCCCTCCTCCTCCTCCTCCTCCTCCTCCTCCTCCTCCTCCTCCTCTTCCTCCTCCTCCTCCTCCAAGAGGAATACAGTCGGAGACACAATAGGAATGTGTGTTCTTATAAGATGAGGGGGGGAAGGAGGTATTGAGGAATTCGCATCGGATAGTTGCAAAATCGCACGTTCGAGGGGGCGGAGATACAACCTCCACCCTCTTCCCCCTCCTTCCTCCTGCAATAGGACCACATAGGGCTCGATTGGAGCAGGGGCAGAGGAATGGAGGAATGATTTGTGTGTTCTTATTGCGTTCCTATTGGGGGAGAGGGAGAGAGGGGGAGGGTGCGGGGAATTCACATTGCATTTCTATAATATTATTATTGGATGCGTATGGCAGAAGGAGGGAGGGAGGTGGGGAAGGGATGGCGTGGGTGGATGGGGGTGGGTGGAGGGGGGAAGGAATTCCTATTGCATTCCACATGTGCACTTCCTCTTGTATACATATTGGAAGTATAAGCACATATTCACAAGTATATGTGAACAACAGCAACGCTCCCAAGAGGTCGAACGATATTTTACCGTCCAAAATGCAACTTTGATACGGCCTGTGCGGCCGAGGGGACTCCCAGAACAGCCCGGCCTCCGAAAACGGGGGGGGGTCACTACTGATTCGAACCCCCCCCCCTCGCCGCGGGCAAACGATTCCCGCTCCTCGGGACATTTGGACAATGGCGGGGATGCTGGGACAATGGTGGGAACGGTGGTGGTGGGGACAGTGGTGCGGGGACAGTGGGACAGTGGTGCGAACAATGGTGGGGACGGTGGTGGTGGGGACAGTGGTGAGGGGACAGCGGGACAGTGGTGAGGGGACAGCGGGACAGTGGTGGGGACAGTGGGGCAGCGGTGGGGACGGTAGTGGTGGGGACAGTGGTGAAGGCGGTGGTGAGGACAGTGGTGGGACAGTAGTACAGTGGGAAAGTGGTGGGGACAGTGGGGACAGTGGGACAGTGATGGGGACAGTGGGGACGGTGGGACAGCACAGTGGGACAGCGGCGGGGACAGTGGAACAGTGGTGGGTACAGTGGGGACAGTGGGACAGTGGTGGGGACCGTGGGGAAAATGGGGAGAGAGGGACCGTGGTGGGACAATGGTGGGGAGAGTGGGGACAGTGAGACACTGGTGGGGGCACTGGTGGGGATAGCAGGACAATGGTGGGAACAGTGGGGACAGTGGGACAGTGGTGGGGACGGTGGTGGCGGGGACAGTGGTGTGGGGACACTGGGAATGTGGTGGAAACAGTGGGACAGTGGAGCGTACAGTGGTGGTGGGGACAGTGGTGAGGGCGGTGGCGAGGACGGCGGTGGGACAATGGGACAGAGGTACAGTGGGGACAGTGGTGGGGACAGTGGGGACAGTGGTGGGAACAGTGGGACAGCTCAGTGGGACAGCGGCGGGGACAGTGGGACAGTGGGGATAGTGGGACAGTGGGGACAGTGGGGCAGTGGTTGGGGCCGTGGAGAAAGTGGGGAGAGTGGAACCGTGGTGGGAACAGTGGTGGAGACAGTGGACAGTGGGGACAGCGGGGACAGTGGGGACAGTGGGGACGGTGGTGGGAACAGTGGGGACAGTGGTGGTGAGGACAGTGGTGCTGGGTACAGCAGTGGGGGATGTGGTGCGGACGGTGGTTGGGACCCGGGAGTCGTTTGCTGGCGGTGAGAGTTGGGGGGGGGGAGGTTTCAAACCAGTAGTGACCCCCCCAGTTTTCTGGAGGGGGGGGGGTTCGAACCGCTAGTGACCCCCCCGGAGGGGGGGGGATTCGAACCAGTAGTGACCCCCCCGGTTTTCCGGAGGGGCAAGGGGGGGGTGTGTGGAGGGGGGGGTTTGCCAGGGGGAAGGGGGGTGGGGGGTCCAGCAGGGGGGGATTTTCGGAGGGGGGGGGACCCTTGGGTTCCTCTCTCTGTGTCCACATGTACGTAGTTGCACCAGTAAGGTCGTAGTAATTCCTCCTCCTCTCCCCCTTTGGCCTCTGTGACCTCCTCCCTCCTCGCTAGTACGTCCCAGTTTATTGCGAAGGCCTGACGGCCGGTGCCGCCGACCCTGTTCGCAATGCGCAGCAAGAGGCACGGGCTGTGGGATGGTGTGGGGGAGCGGGGAGACGGACGAGAAGGTGGGGGAGGGAGGTGTCGTATCTGACCCGGGACTTCCCCGGGACTCCCCCGGGACCCCCCCCGGGACCTCCTCTCCCCCCCCCGTCGGGGAAGGGAAAGGGAAGGGGCTTCCCTTCGACTCAATGACGACGTTGCTCAAGGTCGGTACGGGGGGGGGGCGTCGTATCTGACTCGGGGGGGGGTCGCTACCCCCCCCGCTACCCCCCCCCCCTCCCGGCGGGGGAGGAATGAAAGGGAAGGGGCTTCCCTTCGACTCAATTACGAGGTTGCTCAAGGTCGGCTTGGCTGGAGCCCAGGGGAAGAGGAGTCCCAGGGGGGGGCGTCGTATCTGACCCGGGGGGGGGGTCGCTACCCCCCCCCCCCTCCCGGCGGGGGAGGGATGAAAGGGAAGGGGCTTCCCTTCGACTCAATTACGAGGTTGCTCAAGGTCGGCTTGGCTGGAGCCCAGGGGAAGAGGAGTCCCAGGGGGGGGCGTCGTATCTGACCCGGGGGGGGGGTCGCTACCCCCCCCCCCTCCCGGCGGGGGAGGGGGAAGGGGCTTCCCTTCGACTCAATTACGAGGTTGCTCAAGGTCGGCTTGGCTGGAGCCCAGGGGAAGAGGAGTCCCAGGGGGGGGCGTCGTATCTGACCCGGGGGGGGGGTCGCTACCCCCCCCCCTCCCGGCGGGGGAGGGATCAAAGGGAAGGGGCTTCCCTTCGACTCAATTACGAGGTTGCTCAAGGTCGGCTTGGCTGGAGCCCAGGGGAAGAGGAGTCCCAGGGGGGGGCGTCGTATCTGACCCGGGGGGGGGGTCGCTACCCCCCCCCCCCTCCCGGCGGGGGAGGGATCAAAGGGAAGGGGCTTCCCTTCGACTCAATTACGAGGTTGCTCAAGGTCGGCTTGGCTGGAGCCCAGGGGAAGAGGTCTCCCAGGGAAAGGGAAGGACAGAGACGACGAGTACAAAGAATGACGGAGATGACGGCTCGAACGGAAAGCCCCTCACACACGCCGACAGGGTCGGCGGATTTTAAACTGTACAATGTTATGGTGGTCTGTCTGAAACCATAGTTTTTGTTCTGAACCCCCTGTCTCAATCCGCCGATCTGGCGAGTGAGTTTAAGAAGTCTAAGCTGAAGCTCTGCTTCAGCATGAGCTTTAGCTCTGCTTGGGAGGGGAGGGGGGGGGACGTCATTAACTGAAGAATTCAGTGCTCGGCACCTCCCCCAGGAGAGGGGGGGGGACAGGAGGGGGGGGGGGGGAGAGGGGGTTGGGGGACAGGAGAGGGGGGGGGACACACTGCCACGAACAGTTGGACGAGCTGCGTCGGCGCGCACACGAAACAAGGCGCGCGCGCGCGCCCCCCAGCTACAGAGCCGTGCAAGCGACGCCAAAGCCAGCTACGCTCGCCAGCGCCCATTCGCGAAAGAGTGCCAAAGGCGAACGGCCTCACAAGCAGCGTGCTGGAAGTAGAACCAGGGAGCGGACCTGGCTGGAAGGCACGATCGGTGCTGCGGCTCGAGCGCGCGTCGGGCACGATCTGTGCCAGGACCCTTCAAGCAGCGCCCCGCGCCCGCTTGTCAGGCGACAATCGACCAGTCGGCGCCACCTTGGGTGAGAAGAATATCCTTGGTCTCTGCCTGCTGTGGGGTGCCGTTGCGATTCACGAGTCTGGTCATGGTCATCTCATCCTACGTACGAGTTGACCACAGACGTGCCGACAGGGCTTCCCAGGTTTCACGACTTTCCATTCTGGCCGAGGCTCCTGAGCCATGGGTGAGGTGTGCCGGGCGCCCATTGCGACGGCCGCGCGGTGAATGTTCGCCGCCTCATTGCGCGTTGCCTTCTGTGGCCGAAGTGCTGAGGGACATTCTCCATTGCCCTGTAGCCCCGACTCAAATGAGGCCCGCGCGCGCGCCCGCCGCCGCCACTTGCGGCGCAAGCGTGCACGCGGGGACTATACGACACTGACGGAAAAGGCGTGCCGCTCTGCTATCTCTCATGTTACCATTGCCGCCATGCCTGTAACCTTTCACCAGTGCCACCCGCAATAATAGTTTCTCCTCCTCCTCCTCCGCATGCTCCTCCTCTACCTCCACGCGTGATCCGATTCGCCGCGCCAGAGTCGTCCGGCTTTCAGTTCGTTGTTTCGCCCACTGATGATTTTGATATGGATTGGAGTGCGCAGCGCATTCCAGCAATTCCCAGAGATCTCGGTTGGAGCTTATGGTGATTGTCTGTCTGTCTGTTTGTCTTTCTGTCTGTCTGTCTGTCTGTCTGTCTTCCTCTACAGATTCTCTCTCCCCCATCCCGATTCCGGGAGGCCCCCCGAAATGGGGGTACGCTGGATCGCCCCGAAGCATTCGCGTGCCCAGGCGCTGGCGGAAGACGACCAGCAATGCGAGCGCGCTGGCCAGCGGTCGACCGGCGACGACGCCGAGGGTGACGTGGACGAGCGCGTCGCCGAGGTGGCGCGCGGGAGAGAAAGAGGAGGGTTCGAGGATCGAGGTGTTTGAGCGTTTCTTGTTTTAGAGGGGGCAATGAGATTCCCCTTTTTGCAGAACAATGAATCGCCAGGCACGTGCAACTTTAATCTTTTACCTCCTGTGCATCCTATTCCCCCTTATTCTGCCGGCGCCACCCCATCAGACTAATAATATGTAGTCGTCGCCCCCCAGGGGCGATGCACGCGCGGAGAATTCTTATATTATGTGTTTGGTGACGGGCAATTTCTGGTCACACCGTTTTTAGAATGGATGTCGGGGTCGGACGCACGCCTCCAATGAAGATATATGATGCTAGCATGTCCTTGTGCGTCCCACTCAGGGCAATTCAGCACGTCACGCCCTCTTGTCCTCTTGTGAGATAATTTCGCGGTCGGCGGTGCCCCGGCGCCCACCTGCAGTGCCCTCCCCGGCACCTCGATTTTGCGCGCCGTTCGTCCGTTCGGGGGGGCATTCCGAGGCCCCTGAGGATCTTCCGAAACTTTCGAATACGGTCAGACCGAGGTATAAGATCGAGGTCGGCTCGGGGAGGGTTCCCTACTGTTCTTCGTCTTTGTTAGATGTTCTTGTGCATCCTAAGGGAGGGCGCCCTCGAATGTACTTCACTTTGGCCGGCGGAGGGTCGCATGTTCTTGAAGGATGCTCTTCTGTGTTTGGTCTAGGTGTACCCCTGGAGGGATCGGCTCTGAGACCCTTCGCGGAGTGGCACCGCCTGCCGAGAACCTCTCCGAGCTTCACGCGGCACCCGAGGTCTCCCACGAGCGTTCTAAATTCCCGGGCATCCTGTGCTCTCAACCTATCAGGAGGGAAAAAGAAGCACACAGACACAATTAATCCTCGATTCCCCAGAAAATATGGGAAAATATGGGAAGTGGGGGGGGGAGACAAAAAGCTGGAAAATATGGGGAATCCTATTATTTGTGTCAATTCAATTGTGTGTCCCAGGGCCCCTTCAACCTACCCACGCACCCGAAGGCCCCAACCTGCCCCCCCTCGTTTCTGGTCGAAACTCTCCCGCTCGAACGTGTCGATGCCGTCGGCGGGAATCTCGAAAGAGAACTCGATCGAATAGCTCCAAGCCGCTATCGCTCCCTCGACCCGTCGCTTCTGCAGTGGGAGAAGGGAAGCGCCTTTCTCTCGAGCCCAAGCGCCGGCGCTTGATACACACATGTACACAAGCGTGCTAGATACATGCCCTGGGTCTTTCCCCCAGAAATCACATTCATACTATTTTCTCTAGCTAAGCTTGCCTCTCGTTCGAGCGCCGGGCAAACTCGCAAAACTCAGTACTCTATGAAGTCAAGGTAATCGGCGAAGCCGTCGGATATGAAATAATTCATAGTGTCGTCTACGAAATCCAACTTCATGAAATATGTATGTAACCAAACACAAAACTACTTCTTGGAAGAACTCGAGCCCGTATCTCCCCGCACATACGCCTGTCTCTCCATCTGTGCCTTCGCCGCCTTGGCCTGCGCCCGAAGCACTTTCTCCTCGCTCCACCATGTCGTGTCGCGGTCCACGAGTAGGGTCCCGCACTCGGTGCACTTAATCTTCTCCTTATACTGGTTGGTCCCTGCTCTCGTTTGCTTGTCCGTCGGGTGCTCGCACAGGTCGGGGTCGATGTACTTGCTTTGGTCCTTCGTCCTGTACTTCGTGTTCGTAGGACTTGACTTCTTGGTGTACTTGGTTTTGCCAGCTTCCTGGGTTGCCTTCCGACACACTGCACATTCGTCGATCACAATGCGGCACGCCTCCAGAACTCCGTCCTCCAGCACGTCTCCGAAGTCACTCTCGATCTTCTCGTAGGGAGCGTGTCCGGTCTTCTCGTGTAGGCGGTATGCCTTCTGCATAAGCTTCTTAGATGGCGTCGGCGGTGTCGCCGATGTGGCGCGTACACTCGGGACTTCTTGCCAGCTGCCTTCGTCTATGTCGCTGGGGACCTTCTTGTCTTCGGCCTTGTCCTTGTGTGGCGTCTTCCGTGTCCTCGGTCCGCACTCGCACTGGTCCACCGTCATGCGACACACAGTACACACTACCATGGTAGTCCACGCCGCAGCTGCACCTCCCTGTGGGCTTGCTCTGATCTCCTCAGCGTCGGCCCCCGTCGCGTCCATCATGTAGATCTCCTTCGTGTCGTCGGTGCAATCCAGCTTGGCATTCACGTCTGACTCCACAAACATCTCCATCTCCGATGTGACATTCAACTCCTTCTTGTCCTCTGGATCCTCAGTCGCATCTGGCTTCTTGATGGTGTGCTTCTCTGCAAAGTCCTTCTCGTAGCGCTCGAGGGCCCCCTTGGTCGGTGCGTAGACCGTCAGCAACTTACGCACGTGCGTCGGGATCGTCCGACGCTTCACCACCTGGTCCAAGCCGGACCAGTCGACCATCTCCTCGAGCTTCTCGTAGTAGATATCGTTCTCGCGCTGGCCCAGCATCATCCGCCAACGTAGGTATGGCTTCGGAGCAGGTTGGACGACCTTCGCGTTGTACCTCACGTCTGCGATGCAGTCCTCGAAGTACGTGTAGCCCTCGTGCACGAAAGGCTGATCGGCAGGTCGCTGTCGCTTGGGGTACTTCGTGCGGTAGTACTCCCCCCTGCGTCCCTTGAGCTCCGTCCGTTGCTTATGGATAACCTGGTCCGCCATGAGGTCCTCGGTCAGCCGGTACTCGCCCGTCTGCAGGACGTACCTCATGTAGTCGCCAGCGCGCACGTCGTGCTTGGTGAGGCAGTCGGCGAGCATCTGCTTGGTGTTCACCCACTTGCTCACCACGTTGTTGAACTCGATATCGTTCCTGAGCGCCTCGATGTCGATGAGCAGCCGCTTCTCGGAGGGAACCGTGCCGCGCTTCTGCAGCAGGTCGTAGAGAGACTTGCAATCCGTGACCTCCACCATTGTAATCGCCTTGACGTCCTCCATGTGGGTCCGGTAGCCCAGTCCGTAGTGTAGTTCCACCAGGTGCTGCCTCAGCATGTCGCCACTCTCGACCGCCTCCAAAGCTGCCATCGTCTCGGCCGAAAGGGTACTGCGCACCACACGTTTAATGCGGTGTGAGCGCCACAGCATGGGGGTGATCTTGGTAGGCATCCCGCGCAGGAACTTGTTGTCCTTGTTGTCTGCTAGTAGGATGACCAGTCCGGCCTGGCTCGCCGTCTTCGTCTTGCCCACGTTGCCGTGACTTGAGTCCCCGATGGCCACCACGATCGCATCGTCCATGTTGATCTTCTGGAAAGTGATGTCCACGTGGTCTGTCTTGGCGTCGCTCACCAGCTTGTTGAAGTCAGGTCCTGCACCTTCAGGTCGCTGTCGTGAGCCCTCGTCTGACTCTCCACCAGACGAAACGCCAAGTCCATACGCGTAGAGCGCACCAGCCACTGGATCTTGCCGTTGCCGCTGTGGAGCAACGCCCTCTCCTCAGCCGTGGCCTTCGCTTCCTTGTTCCTCCGGCGCTCGGCCGAAATAGGAATCCTCCCGATGCTCTCCGTGTACTCCCTCTGGCTGCACGTGATGGTGCCGTCGTCGTTCTGCTTGAGGAAGCGCCCGCAGTGGTGAAACCCTGCCCGCGCAGACTGCCACTTGCCGTAGCAGTGTATCTTCCTCAGCATCGCCACCTGATTCGCGAAGAACTCGGGCGAACCCGCGACCAAGTCGTCATCCACGTGAGTCCCGATGAGGCCGATCAGCTTCCCGTTCTCGTCGTGGAAGATGAAGAGAGCCGGGCACAGCTTGGATCTCGAAGCCCCGGGCAATGACAGGATGGTGTCGCGGTGCTCCTCGTACCACAGTAAAGGTGCGTCGTTCAGCCCGTAGATCCCCTTCTTCGCTTTCAGGATGGTTCCCTCGGGCACGAATGGCCAGCCCATCTCCGGGACTGCCGGTAGACCGCCCTTGGGAGCTCGAAAATAAACACGTCGTGAGCTGTCGAGGTACTTCCCATTCAGGAACGCCGAGTCGACGTCGCCCTGCTCCAGCGCCCAGCCCTCCTGGCTGGCCGCCTCCTGGAGAATCACCGCCGTGGCCGTGTCCGTGAGCGTGGGCGCGTTCGTCTGCAACTCGCCGGCGAGCAGCTGCTTGTCCTTGTACGCGGGGACGATGTTCCTCGACTTCGCCTTCAGCGGGTGCTGCTCGTACGAGAGGTTGCCCCTCGTCGGCTCGTTCTTGTCCGTCCGGACGCGCCGCATCGGCAGGACGTCCGTCTTCTCGACCCCCGCGAGCTCCTCCTCCGTCGGCCATTCCACGGCGTCGTACTGGATCCACTTGCGCCACTCGTCCAGGTCGCTCGCGTCGAATGCTTCCTTCCATTCTGCCGGGATGCTGCGTAGTTCTCGACCTTTCTTTAGGTGCAACCTGTTTCTTGGCCGTATCGGTTCTCCTTGCCAGAAATGCATCCCTCGTGCGGTTCTCCACCGCGCGGCTCACCTTGACGTAGAGTGCGCTGTCGTCCCCCATCGGAAGGTCGCTGGGATCGTCAGGAATCCGTGGCAAACGCATAGCAGCCTCCTTGAGAGCTTCGCGTCGTAGTCGAAGACGTTCCTTGTCTTGCAGCCGGTCATCAGGAAGTGGCCTCTTGAACCCCTTTGGTGGTGCAGGTTCTGGCTGTCCTGGCTGTTCGGCTCGCTCAGGTTCATGATGCGGATTACCTGGCACAGCAGCTGCGTCCAGGTCCATGGAGTGCCCCTGCCCAGCTGCATCAGGTGCAGATGGGTCGTAAGCTGGTCCGTGTACTTGAAGTCCCGGCCCGTCGCCGGGTAATGGTGGTACTTCTGGTAGCCCTCCAGGTTGAGCTCCAGGTGCTTCCTCTATCACGCGTTCCCTCTTTGGAGTCGCCTCCACTGGTGGCGGTCTCGGAGGTGGTGAGGCCGGCTCGGTGCGAGGTACCTTCGTCATTGGCGGGTCGTCTCCAACGTCCTCGTCGTCCGAGTCGTCGTTGCTCCTCTCGCGTCGTGTGCCTGTCTGTTGGCTTCCTTCAGGCCCAGGACCACGTTCGTCGATAAACCCCTTCTGAAGAGTAGGTCCTCCACGCCACTGCGAAAGCTGCCTGACCAGGTCCTCGTTCTCCACCATCTCCGCCTCGTCGCGTGATGCATGCCGCACCTGCTCGGGCGTCACGAGCACCGGCACCCCTCGGTAACTCAGGTGCAGTCTCGTGTGGCCCTCCGTCGCCAGCACAATGGCTGGGCCGCGCCATCCCAGCTCGCCCTGGAGCCTCTTGGACTTCACGTGCTTCACCTCGCGCCAGTAGAACACCAGCTGGCCCGGCACAAATGGTCCTCGTGGCGGTCGGACTCGGCCGATAGTGGCCCTCCTCACGGCGTCGTCGCTGTCCAGCTCGAAGAACGCCCGGTTCGCCGCTGCACGAATCTGTTCGGCCCGCCGGGGCCCGTCCTCGAAGAGTGCCGCGCTCTGTGCCGCCAGCTGCCTCTGGTCGCCCTCCATCGCCTCGATCAGCGAAGTCGGAGTGCCGGGCGACTTCCCCAGCACGTACTGGTAGGGCGTGAAGCCGTTGCGTCGTATGTGGTTGTTGCACGTGCTCGCTATCACTGAAGTCCATACCGTTGGTTCGTCGTTCTTCGTGAGCTGCACGTCGCGGTTCAGGCGCTGGAAATGATCCTTGAAGAAGTCGATGGCACGCTCGACTCTTCCCTTTAGCTGAGGCGCCTCCGCCGGGACCGGCCTCATCAGGATGTTGTACTTGTCACCGATCTCCGCGAACCGCTTCGTGATGTGGCCCTTCGCCGCGTCGTAGTAGAGCACCTTCGGAGGGCCTGCCCACGACAACCAACCTTGCGAGAAGCACCGTAGGCTCTCCTCGCCCGTAATCGATCGCACAGCTGTGGTCGGAACGATCACCCTGAAGCTCGACGCGTCGTCCAGGATAACCATGACCATCAGCCGCGTCCCGTCCGAGAGGATCACCTCAGCCTCGTCTAGGAACACGTTCTCGTTGAACTCCGTCGAGAGCTTCAGATTGGCTGACCTCGTGGTGTTCGGCCTGCCCAGCTCCTTGCACACGGTGCAGTCCAACTTGTCCACTGCTTCGAGCACCTCCTTTGACACCCCGTAGGACTTCAGGCGTCGCTTGAGGGCGTGTGCAGACGGATGGCTCAGGTTCAAGTGGAGCTTCCGAAGAGCGCCCCACTGGGCCGTAGTGATGTCCGGGGGCTTATCCCCGAAGCCTTTCCCCTCTTCATGTAGGTCTCGATGTACTGCGTCTGCGTCTCGATCGTCTGGCTTGAACTCCTTCGGCGTGGCTCCATAGGCAAACACCGTCGCAGGGTAGGACGTCTGCACTTTCGGCTCCTTCACGTAGATCGCCACGACCGTGTCCGAGGGATACCTCTCCGCCAGGTCGATCGTCTGGAAATCCGAGTCGTCCGCGTAGGCATCCGAGTAGTCGGCCAGCAAGCCCTCGCTGGAGTACATCGCGTAGATACGCCGTACAGCTCCTCGAGGTAGTGGTATCTCCTCGGTGCCCCTCAGCACGCGCACGTCGATCAACTCCTTTCTCAGCTTGAATGCCCTCGCAACTCCATTCACAGTTGGTCGGCTCGGAATCTTCTCCCCGTTGTTCCAGATCCGCAGCTCCTTCAAGGTCGTGCGCATCGCCAGCTCGTGCGTCCCGGCTTTGACCAAGGTCTTTCCGAGCTCTTCCGGCCACGCAGCCGATCGCGAGAGCATCGCGCTCCGGCCGACCGTCTCCGCATGTTCGTGGCCTCCGTCACATCTGCGTTCCAGCCAGGAAGGAAAACACGACCCATATGGTACCAGCATGCGCGTCGCCTTCCGAATCGGTGTCCCGTTCTCGTCCACGAGCCCGTACATGCACTGGTGCAGCGTGACCGTGTCGTAGGATGGTGGCCGGTCGTCTTTCCAGCTCGTCAGGTCCGTCATCGATTCTTGGTTCCACGCTCGGCTCGTCAACGGATTCTCGCCGATACCGATTCGTCCTCCTTCAGCCTGTACTCGAAGTACGTCCGCCGAGAAGCTGACCAGTGGCGTAAACTCCTCGACCATGTCATCGACCCAGTCGCCCATACCCTGTGCCCGCTGAAACTCCTGCATGTTCGTGAAGGGCGTACAAGGAAACGCGACCGAAACCATCCAAGGCTTGAAAATCTTGATCATGAACAGGAAATCGGAACAAACCTTGGGGTCATTGAAATTCACACCAACCGACAGATCTGAAGGGGTCGCATTCGCGTGACCACCTCTCGAGGCCGCTCTAGTAAAGCGAGCCTCCTTCGCAAACAGCTCCCAGAGGAAGGTCTCCGAGTTGTCACGCAGCACGTCGAATATCACCTCGTACTCCTTCATGAGCTTGTCGATCCGCTTGACCGTGCTCTTCTTGAGAATGCCCTTGTTACCATTCTTCAAGGCCTCCGCGACCCACGCGTCGGCGTCGTCCTTCAGCTGGAAGTCCGGCTTGACCTCCTGCAGCGTCTCCGCGACCAGGAACACCTCCGGCTCGGGGTCGACCTGGTGGATGCGGAACTTCTCGAAGAGCGGCTCCGTCTCGTACGACTCAAGGTCGTAGTCGAAGATGTCGAGACCCGCGTGGCCGCCTGGAAGCTTCACCAGCTCCTTGTCGTAGACCCCCAGCTCCTGGAAGTCCGCCCAGTGGCCGTCCTCGCGTACGTAGAGGTTCGTCTTCCAGTCGGCCAGGTTCTTCCTGCTCGTGAGGCCGACCATGTCACCAGGGATCTCGAAGTACTCCTGGATAGCATGGACCCTCCCAATGCCGATGGGGATGATCCACTTCTGCTTGGCTTCGCGCTTGGCACCGCCGAGCCCCTTGAACCTCTGCGTGGCGTCCACCTTGATGGGCTTCAGGCCGTACTTCGCGAGCTCGGTCGCGACGCGGTCAAGCCAGCCGCGCCCGGCGACCGCCACCGACGCGCCGCTGTCCACCAGGGCCGCCGGCACGGCCTCCTTCGAGACCAGCACCTCCAACTCGAGCCTCTCCGGCACGATCGGATCGCTATCCACGCTCACCGTCATGATGTCGTAGACGTCCTCAGCGGTCTGCACCACGGCGCTGTCGGCCAGCTCGCCCACGGCGGTCATCTGACCCACGAAGTTCACGCACGCCGGGACGGCGCAGACCAAGGTCGTCATCGCCCAGAAGCCGTAGCGTCGTGGACGTTGGGCTCCTTTCGGTCCCTTGCCGCGGCCCTTGGGCTTGCCCGTCTTGCCGGTAGAGCCGCCAGTTGGACAGTTCGCCGTGTCGTGGTCCATCCGGCCGCAGTTGGTGCACCTCTTGTCCTTTGACTTACCCTTGTCCTTTCCTTTGCCAGGGTTGCCTTTGGAGTAACTTCTTCCGGCCGCCTTGCCACCAGCAGCCGCGCTCTCGTCCACGACTCCGTCGATTCTCCCCTTGAAGAACCCGCGAGCAGCCCGAAGCTTGTTCATCTTCAGGCGGCTCTCGCGCAGGGTGACGAGGGCCCTGCGGTAGTCGTCGTCCTCGTCAGCCAGGAACGTGTCCGCGTCGTCCTCGATGAAGAACAGGTCGCTGCAGTCCCAGCCGTTGTCGTCACCCTCGTCCGTACACACGTGGATTCCACGCTCGTCGTCCCATTCATACCAGTATCCGTCATCATCCTGTACCCAGTATTCTCCTGGATCCTCTTCGTCGGGTGGCTCTTCTTCGGTGTTCATCGTCCATCTCCAGCCCGATCTGACTTGTCCCCGATGCTTCGCGCTGCCGCGTGGGAAGAGGTTCTTCAGCGTCATGCTGATCTTCTGGAAGTTAAACGTCTCCTCCGCCCGTGCAATCACCAGATTGCGCTCGTCCTTGTCGAGGCCGCTTCGCTTCAGAGTGTGGTACCCTAGCTCGTTGCTGCTTATCTTCGTGTCCGGGTCCACCTCCTCTAGGTTACGCTTGGCAACCTCCATGGCCGTGCAGAACGCCGCCATGGGTTCCTCGCCTTTCCGCTCGAAGTGCGTCTGATCGAAGAAGGCGTCGAATGCCTTCGGCAGCTCCCGAAAACTGCTCTTGGCGAAGCGCTGTGCCTCCAGGTATGCCAGCAGCGCTCGGGCCCCCTCCTTCTTCGCGTAGTCCTTGGGGTCCGTCTGCTCGATGAGCACGCTGATGCTGTTGTCCGCGCCGAGCAGGTTCCTATACAGCTTGGGGCCGAGCGCCTGTAGTTGATCCTCCGTCTCGCAGCTCAGCTCCGCCGCCTGCACGGCGCGCTTGTACCTCGTGAAATCCTTGAGGGTCTCGCCCTTCAGCACCGGGATTCTTGGATCCACTGCGCTGTTGTGCTCCGTCATCTCTCCTGGATGGCTAATCCGTGTCCGTGTAGATTATCTTGATAATCGTTATAATGAAGATCGTGGGGCCAACCACAAGCTCCGCTGCCAACCTCGTTTCTGGTCGAAACTCTCCCGCTCGAACGTGTCGATGCCGTCGGCGGGAATCTCGAAAGAGAACTCGATCGAATAGCTCCAAGCCGCTATCGCTCCCTCGACCCGTCGCTTCTGCAGTGGGAGAAGGGAAGCGCCTTTCTCTCGAGCCCAAGCGCCGGCGCTTGATACACACATGTACACAAGCGTGCTAGATACATGCCCTGGGTCTTTCCCCCAGAAATCACACCCCCCATTACCAGCGGGGGGTATCCCATTGGGAAAACACCATGGAGACGGTGCAACCCCCAACCCGAACTTTGGGACTTCGGGTTGACGGTCCTGCTCCGCCGTCCTGCGGACCTTCCCTCCTGGACGGCATCCCTGGAGCATCCCAGGGTACGCATCTAAGGTCCCGCAGGGAGTCCGAATCTTCCAGGGAGCTTCCCGACATATTCCCTGGGTACCCCCGCCCAAGCCAAGTAAGAGATGATGCCGGCTTTAGTTTGCCTTGCTTAGCTGTCCCTTCGGGTTTCGAGCCTCGCCTTTTCGCTCGGTCGTTGTCCTTCCGCCGTTGTGTTTTTTCTCTGGCCCTCGCTCGTTCGTCTTTTCGGGCTCTCGTTCGTTTCTGTGCTGCCTGGGAGTTAGCGCTTGACTCTAACCCACGTCCGAAACAAAACCCTGCCCCAGACTTCCAGGATCTTCCCAGATCGTAGTGCCTCGTTGCCCACAGTTCTGCGCAGTCCTCTTGCGGATCCCCCTCTGCATCCCAGGGCATGCGAGACTTCCAAGTAGTCCCCCAAAACTTCTTCCAGGAGTCTGCCAGGAGCCTCCCAAGGTCCTCTGGCGCGGCGTGGCAGTGCCTGTCCGCGCCGCCAACGGCCAGGGAGCTTCCAAGGGGCCTCCAGCGCAACGGGACTGTGAGATTACGTTGCATTGCCCGCTTGCGCCACCAGCGCGTGGCACACAGGGTCACGCAACCCCGCCCGAGAGCTTCGCCAGACGATTCCTTTCCTGGCATCTGGGGGGGGGGGCCCTCGCCGCCACGACGGGATCCTCATCGGGCTCCTTGTCGTACAGTCGGGGCCCTGAAGAAGGAACCCTTTTGGTTGGGGAGGGGCTCGACGTTCCTTAATTGTTTCGCAGCTTGCCTTGGATTTTCCTTAGGTTTTCGATACGAAATCGAAGTTCAACTTATGGAAAATAGGGGCCTCGTTCCTGATTTAGGGTTCCTTAGGTCAACGCCTCGATTGTAACGCACTCCAGCGCAGGTTTGGGGGTCGAGGCAGATCGGTTCTAGGTTTTGTCTCTGTGAGGATGTTGGCCAGCGTGGACCCCGAAGGGTGCATTCTTGCACTGGAGGTGAACACTGCGGTGTAAGCCATGTGGCGAAATCTATGTCGTGTAAGCTATGGAGGTGCAACATATGCGGCGTAAGCCAGGTGGTGTAAGTTGTGTAGCGTAATCTCTGCGGTGTGAATTGGAGGTGGGAGCTATGGGGTGTAGGCCGTGTGATGCAAGCCATCTTGTGCAAGCTATAGGGCGCAGGCTATGTGGTGTACGCCATGTGGCGAAAGCCATGTCGTGTAGGATCTGTGCACGGGGACGCCGAGAGGCGCCAACGAGACGGCGCGGGCGACAACGTGGCGCAACGTCGGGAAACCCACGAGGCGCCCACGATGCGGTACGGGCGGCAACGTGGCGAAACTTTAGGAAGCCCACCCAGCGCGCGAGGCGCCCGCGAGGCGGCACGGGCTGCAGCGTGGCGCAACTTCGGGAAACCCACCCAGCGCGCGGGGCGTCCACGAAGCGGCACGGGCGGCAACGTGGCGAATTTCCGGCAAACCCATTCCCATTCAATTGTTTGAGAAAGGTGAGTAAGAACCCCCAATCCAAGCAGTGCTTGGGGAATGATGAACGGGCAGCGTTCACCCGTCACGAAGTTACCCTTGCCATCTCCCGACGGTGCCCTCCAATGGTGGGGGTTTGACCGCCAGGTGTCACTGGACATCGAGGACGAGGACGAGGAGGACCTCGCAGCTGCGAGGAAGGAGGACGAGGAGGAGGAAGAGGAGGATGAGGAGGATGAGGAGTATCGCAACGAAAAGCGTCGAGGCCCTCGCAACAGTGCAGGGCTAGAGGGTCGCGACCTCGGTATCTCATTCGGGGCTGTCCCCACACCGTCAAGCCAGCAGAGAGCGAGATGACGAAGCGGAACGGCGGCGGGTGAGCAGAATTCAGCCGGGGAAAACAAACACACACACACACACACACAGAGGCATTCATACTTTTCAATGTTCAGGAAAGTATGGAAAATATGGGAGGTGGAGAGGAAGACGAGCACCCAGAAGATACGGAAATTATTGGGAATCCTGGGATTTGTGCCTATTGATTTGCGTGTCCCTGGGCCCCCTGAAGAATAGTGGCAGGGCGGGCGGGAGGGGGAGGTCTTGCGGAGTTGACGGGGACGTTTTGTTGAGCTATTCTTTGGGCAGGGATTTTGTGGAACCACGCGCAGCGCCAGCAGCTTGGATCCTTGAGGAGCAACTCAGGGAGCCGCTAGTGTTGGGGTGAGAAGGGGGAGGGCGAGGGGATAAGAGGAAGGTAATGAAGAGGTGTAGGGAAGGGTATGGAAGAAAGGGAGGGGAATGGGGGAGGAGGATTTTTTTGCACAACAGATCAAAGGCGCGGCGTCGCAGGAGGATGAGAAGTGACGGAGGAGAGGGGCAGGATGGGAGACGGAGGAAGGGAGTGAGAAGAGTGGAGTTTAGGCTCTTGTCACGCTGACAGAAAACGCGATAGACTATGATAGACTGGAGTCACCAAAGCATGCCTCAGGCGACGTCCGCACATGTCAGAACACTCCGAGGGGTATTTTTTTCGGGGGGGTCGCGAACTGCTGTCAGGAGAACAAGGTCTGGACTAGCTCCCCCAAGGCGCTTGACCGAGTAAGTCATGATGTTGATTCTGGATACGGACTACACTCCAGGAGTACGACCGCTCGTCATTCCAATAACGCTGCAATGTTCAATGACATTCAATTCCAGGCGATATTTAGAGTTTATTTAGCTGCCTCCAGCAGATCGGCCACCGTGCCAGCGCAGCATTCTGGGTGGCATGTATTCGAGGGGGCACGGGAGGCCGTTGCGTGTGACACTTGTGCGTTTGGAAATCGCCTTGGAGGGCTATGTGGGTCGTTTGGGGGCCCTCTTGGGACCGTTGAAGGCCGTCAAAGGGCCCGCTTGGGCCGATGTGGGATTGCGAAGGCCTGACGGCCGGTGCCGCCGACCCTGTTCGCAATGCGCAGCAAGAGATTACGAGGTTGCTCAAGGTCGGCTTGGCTGGAGCCCAGGGGAAGAGGAGTCCCAGGGGGGGGCGTCGTATCTGACCCGGGGGGGGGGTCGCTACCCCCCCCCCCTCCCGGCGGGGGAGGGATCAAAGGGAAGGGGCTTCCCTTCGACTCAATTACGAGGTTGCTCAAGGTCGGCTTGGCTGGAGCCCAGGGGAAGAGGAGTCCCAGGGGGGGGCGTCGTATCTGACCCGGGGGGGGGGTCGACACCCCCCCCCCCTCCCGGCGGGGGAGGGATCAAAGGGAAGGGGCTTCCCTTCGACTCAATTACGAGGTTGCTCAAGGTCGGCTTGGCTGGAGCCCAGGGGAAGAGGAGTCCCAGGGGGGGGCGTCGTATCTGACCCGGGGGGGGGGTCGACACCCCCCCCCCCCTCCCGGCGGGGGAGGGATCAAAGGGAAGGGGCTTCCCTTCGACTCAATTACGAGGTTGCTCAAGGTCGGCTTGGCTGGAGCCCAGGGGAAGAGGAGTCCCAGGGGGGGGCGTCGTATCTGACCCGGGGGGGGGGTCGACACCCCCCCCCCTCCCGGCGGGGGAGGGATCAAAGGGAAGGGGCTTCCCTTCGACTCAATTACGAGGTTGCTCAAGGGGGGCCCTCTTGGGACCGTTGAAGGCCGTCAAAGGGCCCGCTTGGGCCGATGTGGGATTTTCTTGGACCGCGCTTAGGCCATCTTGCGGCCCTCTTCCAGCCAATTTGGGACGTCTTGAGGCCATCCGGGAGACTTCTTGGGCCGTGTTGAGCTCCTGGAAGCCCGAAAAGGTGAGAATGCGACAATCCATCAAACACCCGGGGAAATCCAGTGATTTGGGCCGCTTTGGGCTCTGCTGGAGGTTCTACTCGAGTCCTCCTGGACTAGCTTGATAGCCTCTTGGGCAGTCCTGAGGCCTCGGTTCGTTTTCGTCTTCGTCTTCTTAACTAGCTAACTTTCGGGCCGCCGCGGTCGTCGTTCGTTTTGTTAACTAGCCTGCTTGGCGGAGGCCTCTTCGTTCTCGATTTCGTTTTCTCGTGTCGCCGGGACAGTATGGGAAGGCACCTTTGGGCACCTTGGGACGCTCTGGAGAGCGCCAGGAAGAGACGTCAGGGTGCCCGGGGAGCCTCGGGAGAGCTGGGGAGGCACGCGGAAGTCTGCGGCCGGGAGGGGTCGGGGCTCGAGAGGTGGGGGGTCAATGCAGACGGGGGCGAATGGAAGAGAAGAAAAATTACCCTGGCGACGTACCCAACCCCTGCGCAAAAGCGGGGCGCAAATAGTTTAGGATACTTTATAAGGGGGCGATGACGGAGCGAGGGTTACATATGTCCACAGACGGAATTCGGGAGACTCGCAGGACACTGGCTACAGGAAAAGGGCTTGATAAAGCTGATGATTGCGAAGGCCTGACGGCCGACGGCCGGTGCCGCCGACCCTGTTCGCAATGCGCAGCAAGAGGCACGGGCTGTGGGATGGTTTGGGGGAACGGGGAGAAGGACGAGAAGGTGGGGGAGGGAGGTGTCGTATCTGACCCGGGACTTCCCCGGGACTCCCCCGGGACCCCCCCCGGGACCTCCTCTCCCCCCCCCGTCGGGGAAGGGAAAGGGAAGGGGCTTCCCTTCGACTCAATGACGACGTTGCTCAAGGTCGGTACGGGGGGGGGGCGTCGTATCTGACTCGGGGGGGGGTCGCTACCCCCCCCCGCTACCCCCCCCCCCCCTCCCGGCGGGGGAGGGATCAAAGGGAAGGGGCTTCCCTTCGACTCAATTACGAGGTTGCTCAAGGTCGGCTTGGCTGGAGCCCAGGGGAAGAGGAGTCCCAGGGGGGGGCGTCGTATCTGACCCGGGGGGGGGGTCGCTACCCCCCCCCCCCTCCCGGCGGGGGAGGGATCAAAGGGAAGGGGCTTCCCTTCGACTCAATTACGACTCAATTACGAGGTTGCTCAAGGTCGGCTTGGCTGGAGCCCAGGGGAAGAGGAATCCCAGGGGGGGGCGTCGTATCTGACCCGGGGGGGGGGTCGCTACCCCCCCCCTCCCGGCGGGGGAGGGATCAAAGGGAAGGGGCTTCCCTTCGACTCAATTACGAGGTTGCTCAAGGTCGGCTTGGCTGGAGCCCAGGGGAAGAGGAGTCCCAGGGGGGGGCGTCGTATCTGACCCGGGGGGGGGGTCGCTACCCCCCCCCCCCTCCCGGCGGGGGAGGGATCAAAGGGAAGGGGCTTCCCTTCGACTCAATTACGAGGTTGCTCAAGGTCGGCTTGGCTGGAGCCCAGGGGACGAGGAGTCCCAGGGGGGGGCGTCGTATCTGACCCGGGGGGGGGGTCGCTACCCCCCTACCACTCCCGGCGGGGGAGGGATCAAAGGGAAGGGGCTTCCTTTCGACTCAATTACGAGGTTGCTCAAGGTCGGCTTGGCTGGAGCCCAGGGGAAGAGGTCTCCCAGGGAAAGGGAAGGACAGAGACGACGAGTACAAAGAATGACGGAGATGACGGCTCGAACGGAAAAGCCCCTCACACACGCCGACAGGGTCGGCGGATCGGGAGACTCGCAGGACACTGGTTACAGGAAAAGGGCTTGATAAAGCTGATGATTTACAATTCCTGAGCACTCCTAGCCACTTCGAAAACGGTGATCACAGCAGGCCTCGAAAATGGCGACAGGTTCACAGATCGCAGCCCCGCAGGGATGGCGAGGTCTCATTTGAATCTGCCCGTGGCCTCACTGTTGCTGGGCCCCCCAGCAGGCCTCGAAAATGGGGGGGGCGGGTGGGGGGGGGGGGGGCCCAGTTTCGGAGAGATCGCAGGCCCCCGGGAGGCGAGGGTCTATTTGAATCCGCGCGTGGCCCTCACTGTGCTGGGCCCCCCAGCAGGCCTCGAAAATGGCGACAGTTTCGCAGATCGCAGCCCCCCAGGGATGGCGAGGTCTTATTTGAATCTGCCCGTGGCCCTCACTGTGCTGGGCCCCCCAGCAGGCCTCGAAAATGGCGACAGTTTCGCAGATCGCAGCCCCCCAGGGATGGCGAGGTCTAATTTGAATCTGCGCGTGGCCCTCACTGTGCTGGGCCCCCCAGAAGGCCTCGAAAATGGCGACAGTTTCGCAGATCGCAGCCCCCCAGGGATGGCGAGGTCTAATTTGAATCCGCGAGTGGCCCTCACTGTGCTGGGCCCCCCAGCAGGCCTCGAAAATGGCGACAGTTTCGCAGATCGCAGCCCCCCAGGGATGGCGAGGTCTAATTTGAATCCGCGCGTGGCCCTCACTGCGCTGGGCCCCCCAGCAGGCCTCGAAAATGGCGACAGTTTCGCAGATCGCAGCCCCCCAGGGATGGCGAGGTCTAATTTGAATCCGCGCGTGGGCCTCACTGTGCTGGGCCCCCCAGCAGGCCTCGAAAATGGCGACAGTTTCGCAGATCGCAGCCCCCCAGGGATGGCGAGGTCTAATTTGAATCTGCGCGTGGCCCTCACTGTGCTGGGCCCCCCAGCAGGCCTCGAAAATTGCGACAGTTTCGCAGATCGCAGCCCCCCAGGGATGGCGAGGTCTAATTTGAATCCGCGCGTGGCCCTCACTGTGCTGGGCCCCCCAGCAGGCCTCGAAAATGGCGACAGTTTCGCAGATCGCAGCTCCCCAGGGATGGCGAGGTCTAATTTGAATCCGCCCGTGGCCCTCACTGTGCTGGCCCCCCAGCAGAGCTCGAAAATGGCGACAATTTCACAGATCGCAGCCCCCCAGGGATGGCGAGGTCTAATTTGGATCCGCCCGTGGCCCTCACTGTGCTGGGCCCCCCAGCAGGCCTCGAAAATTGCGACAGTTTCACAGATCGCAGCCCCCCGCGGGCAAGACAGGAAGAGGCGGGAGGGGAAAAGGAGGAAGGGCGGGAGAAGGGACGCGACCACACTGCTCTATTCAAAACGAATACCCAACCAAGGAGGGTTGGGAATAAATGTCATGAGCGTAAACTTTTGGCGCTCCGCGCGGATCTTTTGCATCTGCGCGGGGCCCCCCCGACGGCGCTTCTGGCGCCGCCTCTGGCGCGCTCCGCGCGCCAGCCAGCCAGAGCGCTGGATTTTGCAGGATCCTGCAGGGCCAGGGGTGCACTGACCCGGGTTTGGGTGCAGGATCCTGCAGGATCCTGCAGGATTTTGCCGGATCTCGCAGAGCCTGACTGACCCGGGCCTGGATTGACCCGGGTCAGCAGATCCCAGAGGGGGGATTCCCGCAGGCGACTACAGTCGAAGAAGAAGGCACGCCAAGGGCATGAACTTTTGGCGCTCCGCGCGGATTTCTTGGATCCGCATCCGCGGTGGGCCCCCTTAGCGGCGGCGCAGATCCAGCGCAGCGCCGCCAGGGTGGCCCAGCGCAGATCCAAGAAATTTGCGCGGAGCGCCAAAAGTTTATGTTCAGGTTTTTTTTTCTTTCTATACGGAGACCTTGCCAGACAGCATATGGCATTCTAGCATGCGGGGGCGCAGCGCGGAATTGAGGTTGTTGGTTTCTAAAAGAGGGGCCAGGGGGCACGGTGCCCCGGGGGCGGACGGTGGCGGATTTGAGGTTGTTGGTTTCGAAAAGCTGAATTCCGAGCGGAATCGTCTCGGTGTTTAGTAAGAGTTTCGGGCGATGCTTGTGGTGAGCCATGAGTTGGATTTTATATGGTTCTGACGTGACGTATCAGGCAAGGTCGCCCACTGGACGGGTGAAACAATTATGCGCACGCGTCCGTCCTCTGCGGGGAGTGTCGCTGCGGTACCGTACCGACTGACTCCGCCACCTCCTCGCTGCTCTTCCTGCTGGATTCTCTCCTCGTCCCTGGCCGTCGCCGCTTGCACGCTCGAAGATGAAGTGCGTTGTCACCGCGGGCTGACGCTGTTCGAGCCGATAACACGTATCACAATCACTGTTTGCCAGTCGTACCGATTGCCATTTCGAGCCACAACGATTGATCGTGATATCGTTGATGATCCAGGGGGCGACCAGATACCCCCATGGTCCAAACATTCGGCGTCGAACATGTCATCCACCCGATGTTTGTTTGACAGTTCGGGGAAACAACACAAACAGCACTGGCAGCAACAGCCCGTCAGGCTCTGATGCGTACACTGGAGCGTAAGAGCAGGAGGAGGAGCAGGCACCCTCACGTCTTACGTTCTGTGTTGGCTCTTCGCCCCGAGGAGGAGGAGGACGAGGAGGATAAGCAGCCGGACGAGGAGGCTGACGAGGACGAGGCTGAGGTGGACCCCGGCATGCTGCTCGAGGACCGTAGGCTCGAATTGGTGTTGGACAGTTCTTCTGTTCCTGCTGCTTCTCATCTCCCCTGCGCCACTTCCCCGTCCTTGCTCCTCCTCCTCCGCCTCCTCTCTCCCTCCCTCCTCCCTCCTCCTCCTCCCCTCCTCCTCCTCCTCCTCCTCCTCCTCCTCCTCCTCCTCCTCCTCCTCCTCCTCCTCCTCCTCCCCCGCCTCCTCCTCCGTCATCCCCCTCACCTCCTTCCCCGTCCGCCCTTTCCCTCCCGACCGTGCCTTTCATTGAATCGCTTCGCTCATTCCGCCGGCCCATAGTGTAGCGTCGCTGGCACTTGCTTGCGTGCTCGGGGGGGCATTTGGGTGGCCTCCTGGGGCCGCTTGGGGGCCTCTTGGGGGCCTCCTGAGGGCCTGTTGGGGGCCTCTTGGGGCCTCTTAGGGGCCTCTTGGGGCCTCCTGGGGACTTCGGAGGGCCGAGGGCTTGAAATATTGTTTCGTGTTCCCCCCCTGGGGTCCCTCTTGGGGCGTTCTTGGGGCCCTCTTGGGCCGTCTTGGAGGCCTCTTGGGCCGTCTTGGAGCCCTCTTGGGCCGTCTTGGGGCCCTCTTGGGGGCCTCTTGGGCCCTCTTGGGGCGGTCTTGGGGGCCTCTTGGGCCGTCTTGGGGTGTCGTGAAGCCGAAAAGGTGGAAACGCCAAAATCTCTCCAAAACCTAAGGAAAAGCAGTGAATTTTGCCTCTTGGGGCCCTCTCGGGAGTGCTCTTGGAGGCCTCTTGGGGCGTCTGGGGGCCATCGTGGGCGTCTTGGAGCGATCTTGTGGCATCTCGGACCCCTCATGTAGCATCTTGGGGGCCTCTTGGAAGCCTCTTGGCCCTTCTTGGGGCTCTCGGGGACGTCTCGGAGCCGCGTTGGTGCGCTGCTGGAGCGCCCTGGTGACTCCTCCCGGGACTCTCTCGGGACCTTGCCGGGGTACTTTCCGCCCGGGGCCCCCCAGGGGCCGCCCCGCGCGCGCGAAGTAGAAAGATTGTAAAGCAGTCACCGGAGATCTTAGCACGCCTCTGGCCCGTCGGGCCGGCCCCCCGCCTCCTCCTCCGTCATCCCCCTCACCTCCTTCCCCTTCCGCCCTTTCCCTCCCGACCGTGCCTTTCATTACATTCCCTACGGACCCTTCCTCCCTTGACGTTTCGTCTTCTTCCCTCCTTCCTCTACCTCCTTCGTTCCTTCCGTCCGCGGGACCAGCCATTTTGGACTAAGCTGTGGGGCTCGCTTGATGTCATCCTCTCGTGGACGGCGCCTTCAAGCGAACTACCGCCGCCCCTCGCCTTTTTGAAATTTTGTGTGGCCGGACGTCGGCCCTGCCGATTCGGAAACAGCTTGACACCGTTGGGGTGATGATCTTCCATCACTTTTGGGCCTGGCCTGACTTCAGCAATTAGGGGAACAAAAAGTGGTATAAACATAAAAACTCGGAGGTCCGCGCGGAGTTCTGGGATCGGCGCTGGACCCCCCTCCCTGGCGCGCGGAGCGCGCCAGGGGCGGCGCCGAAGGCGCCGCCAGGGGGGTCCAGCGCGGATCCGAGATATCCGCGCCCCTCCGAGTTTTTATGTTTATGCCGCTTTTTGTTCCCCCCAGCAATGCTTTGGGGAACCGAGGGGCAAAACCGAAATGGGCCATGCATGTTCACCCGGGTACACGTTCGCAGATCTTCGAAGCGGATCCCCAAATCACGTTTTTCCGAGCAGCGGATGCGGTTGGGGGCCCTGGCAGCGGACAAGAAGGACAAAACAGACGTCCCGCAGGGGTGAGAAGGAGAGGCAGCAGACTGGACTCCCAGAATCGCCGTTCTGCCTCAGATTTCCCCACGAATTAGGTCCACGGGAAAGTCCCACAGAGGGGACGGGGACAGGTACAAGACCAGACTCCCAGAATCGCAGTTTCGCCTGAGGTTTCCGCGCAATTCATGACCAAAGGTCGTTTTGCCCGAGACTTCTTCACAATGTAGGAACACAGGGCCACATAAGAGTTTTGCCGGAGGCCAGACTCCAAAAATCGCCATTTCATTCGAGACTTCCTCACAATTTGGGACCACACAGGCCGTTTCGCCCTGAGGCTTCTTCGCAACTTCGACCCGCGACCCGCAGCAGCCGTTCCGCTTGAGACTTCCTCACAGTTCAATTAGGAATCGCGCTCTAGCTGCAGTGCTCGCTACATGTTGAGTCCAGACGGGCACGATCCCTGCACAAGTGAATTCATGGTGCACATGGCCGTGCTCTCACTTCTGTCCTGGCTGCATCTTTCCTGGGACTCCCTCGGAACACATCGGAATGCACGTTTGCAGTCGACTTACTACTGCTCGACCCGCCTCTTCACCTTTGCTGCTATTTGTCATGGCGCCAACATCGCAGAGCGGATTTCGTTCGGAAAACAATGGGATGAACCCAAATTGTCATGGAGAATTTCGTTCCGGATTTCGAAAGTAAATTCCGTGCGAACTACAAAGAACCCACGTGAAATTAATTGTGTTTTTCGCTCGCCTTTTCCGGGCTTTGCGTTGACAGAAATCCACGCAAAAATCCGTTGCAGCACCTCTGCAAGGTCGGTGCAATGATATTTGGGTGCTTTGCAGGAGTCATCTTGCAATCACAGTCCTGGCGATTTCCGCATGCATGCTTTGGGCCATCTCGGATGCATGATGAGTCATTTGTTGAAGACGTCTTAGGGTCGTCCTGGATTATCTGTGGCCAACCTTGGCTCCTTCTCGAGAGCTTGCTCGGCCGTCGGGAGGCCGTCCTGGGCCGTTTGGGAGCCGTCTGGGACTGCGTTGGGCGTCCCTCGGGCCATATTGGCAGCTCTGTTGGCAGTTTGAGCAATCTTCACGATGAAAGGTGGTGGGCCTACGAAGCGGCCGAAAGGCTTGTGGAGAGGCTTGAAGAGCCAAACCGAATGGAGGTTGAAGGAGGGGAGGAGAATGGGGAGGAAAACGAGGTTCAGGAGGAGGAAGAGGACCAGCATTGAGAGGAAGAGGAGGGAAAATGAGGAGGAGGACGAGGAGCAGGACAGGAGGAGGACGAGGAGGAGGAGGAGGACGAGGAGGAATGGGATAAGAGGAGAATGAGGACGAGGAGGAGGCCATCGCGGATGCTTTGTGGTGAGAGCCTTTTTGAATGGTTATTGGGAGTACGCACAGGAACCCGACACCAACACCAAGAAGCCACTAGAAAAGAAAACATTGCAGCCTCTGTTGAATGCCGTCGCCCGTGTCTTCGGGTTCGCGTGTCCAGAGTTGATGAATGCCAGCTCTGAGCGCGTGGGAACATAACGGGCCGTCTCCAGTTCCCCAAGTGAGCGTTAGGATTTCCATGGGCCGCGCGAGTCCCGCGGGCCGTGCGAACCCAGCCAGCCCCATGAACCCCACAAGTTCCACAAAGGGCTTCATGGGCCGAACGTGCGCCGCAGCGCGCATAAGCCCAACGCGCCGCGCTGGCCCAGCATGCCGCGCGGGCACCATTGGCTCCCTGACTCGTCAGGGCCACATCTGGTTTCTGAGCCTTGGAAACCCCGCGGGCCATGGGAGCCCCGTGGGCCTCAGGGGCGCCATGAGCTGCATGGGACGTTTCCCTATCATGGAAGCACCGTGGCTTGCAAAGTCGGAGAGCAATGCGAGCCATCTCAAGCTTTCTTGGCTTCGTTGGGTCGCTCAGCCCCCACAGGGAAAGCGCTCCGAACTTTTCCAGTGGCGTCTTGGTGCTGGTGCCGGCTTTTTGTTCCCTGCAACATCAAAAAGCCGACACCAGCACCAAGACCCCCACTGGAACGGCGGCCCCATGTGCGAGCTGAACCCCTCGACGATTTCGGAAGGTTGCCACGGGCTGCGGGCTTGGGTCAAGAGGGGGCCACGGTCTTATGCCCAGGCCGCGACGGGCGGCCACCGCCCCCTTTCGCAGAGAGCGGCGGATTCGAACTCGTCGGGCCTTGGTGTCGGGCCAGACGAGGGTCAGGGATGCGACGCGGGCGGACATAGGGTGGGTGAGGGGTGGGGGGAATGAGAGGGGGGCGGGCGGGCGGGGGTAGGCGTGGTGGAGGGCGGCGGTGGGGGGAGTGAAGCTTCAGCCATGGGGGATGCCGCAGCCTTCCCTCTTCTCTCCCTCTTCTCCCGAGGGCGCCCGCTAGTTTCGCTTCTCGCTTGCACTTGTTATTTCCTGCTTTCCCTCCTGCGTGCTGCGCGACGTCTCCTTTCCCCCGTCCTCCTCGCCCACTCTGCGATTCCTCAGGCCAGGGCGGGCTCGCGCTGGTCCAAAACGCAATTCGACATTTCGTGAAACAAATATTTTCTTGGTGCTGGTGTCGGCTTTTTGTTCTCCCAGGAGTGTACGTGGGGCATATTGGAGTCCTCTTGGGGGGGAAACGAGTGATCTATCTACACACACACACATGTAAATAGGCATACACATATGCATATGCATAAACATACGCATCTACACATACATACACATTGACACCTACTGCACCTATACACATGCACATACACATGCATAGACATGCATGTGCGTATACATACAAGTATGCGTATACGTATGCATACGCATGTACATATATGTAGGTACGTACACGTTTGTACGTATGTGCGCACACACGTCGCTGCACAATGCCAAGACCTATACATCTTCATATACATGTACACATACATATACATGTACATATCCACATACGCATACATCTATATATAGTCGACATAAACATATACACATAAGTATACATATGTGCACAGTTAACGTTACACATACATGTGCGTTTGCATGTTCATGTACATGTACAGGTACACATGCCTATAACTATACATGTCGTATACAGATACATATGCATAATCATACAGAACAAACATATGATCATATATGAACTCATGCTTGTGTATATATAGTGCGCCCGTGCTCTGTCAAACCTTGTACCCTCTCCTGCACACGTTTGCCGTCGCCGTTTCGTTACGAGGAGTGGTACCGATGCATTATTCTAGCGGAGTTTGTA